ACACCAATTTTTACTGTGGTTTAGTGAAACACGTGAATCACGAATTTAAACTTTATTAAAAATGTACAAAATACTGAACTAACTAACTGAATTAATTACTATTAAACTGGGAATAAGCCACAATTAAAGATAAAAATACGTTTATTGACGTTTCATTTTCCACTTCGGAAATCGTTCTTGATTTTTGAAGAACGATTTCCGAAGTGGAAATTGAAACGTCAATAAACGTATTTTTATCTTTAATTGTGGCTTATTCCCAGTTTAATAGTAATTAATTTACAATGCCACAAGAAAATAGCTTCAGAACAATATTAACTAACTGAAATTGAATAATCAATTATTTTGGCAAACCAACTTGGCCTCAACTGTCCTGGGATGATATTCTAAAAAGAATATCATCCCATAACAATTCTGGTTTAAGGGTAATACCAATATCAACAGCTGTCACTTGATTGTCAGTCGCAACAAAATAGTCATTGATGGAAGACACTGTTCTAACTTTTTAGATGAAAAGTCTCTCAGAGAAGCAAACATAGATCATTATTCGATTAAGGTTTAATGAAAAAATATCCCATAACAAAAAGAAGAGGGTAAAGGAAAGAAAAAGTAAATATTTACAAACGAAAAGTTCCGGACATAGCAAATGTATATAAAGAGCCAATGGAGGATAAAATAAGTATAGTAAACGTAAAAGAAGAAGTTTTTTCGATTCGATTTATAAATCGATTTAAATATTGGGTAAAAGCAGGGCAGAAGAAATTAGTCAGTGAATAATGAGTGCGGGATGGCAACAAACTGCAAAACGCAGCATATCAAAAAATTCTGGTAGCAGGTTATAGACGGAGAAAAAAAAAAGAGTATACACGTCTCAAAAGTGTGAAAACGGTTCCATCATTAAGAAGAGGAAATAAGAACAGAAATCTAAATGAGATACAAAGTTTATTTGATGAAAATGAAACAAGACCATTCTTAAAGTCCCTAAATCGAAGTCGTCAAGAATTTAAGCCAAGAATAAAACATTATACACCTCAATTAAGATTGTAGAAAATCAACTAAATTTAACATCTGCAACAATTTAATAATATATCTGCTACACAAAAAGCCTTAAGCCAGACTTATCTTCTTCTTCGGGTTCCTTCTCCTAGCGGAGGTTGGAAGTCATCATCGCTATTTTAACTTTGTTGGCCGCATTTCTGATTGATTCTAATGAGCTGCAGCCGAACCACTCTCTCAAATTTCTTAGCCAGGACATTTTGCGTCGTCCTGGGTTTCTCTTCCCTTGTATCTTCCCTTGCATAATCAACCTCAGTAATACGTACTTCTCACCCCTCATTAAATGTCCCAGATATTGAATCTTTCTAATTTCAACAGTTTTTATGACTTCACATTCTTTCTTCATTCTTTGTAACACCTCTATATTAGTGACTTTTTCAATCCACGATATTTTATGCATTCTCCTGTAGCACCACATCTCAAAGGAGTTTAATTTTTTGATTTCAGACTGCTTTATTGTCCACGCTTCCATGCCATATAGTAAAGTAGAGAAGACGTAACAACGTAGCATTCTTGTGCGAATCTCTAGATTAAGGTTACGGTCGCAAAGTAATTTTTTCAATTTTATGAACGTGTTTCTTGCCATTTCTATTCTAGATCTGATCTCCTTTACTTGATCTCCATCTTCGATTAGCCACGTTCCTAAATACATATTTATATGTTTTTACTCTTTCTGTCGTTGTATTATTGATGATCAGGTTATTTACATTTTGTGGTTTTTTTGAGAATATCATTGATTTCGTTTTCTTGAGATTCATTTGCAGTCCGTAACTTTCACATGCATTGTATACATGTTGTATTATGTACTGTAGATCTTCCATGTCACTTGCAAATATGACAGTATCGTCGGCATATCTAATATTATTAATGCTATTTCCGTTGACATAAAAACCTTCCACGATATCTAATAAAGCCTCTTGAAAAATCACTTCACTGTAGACGTTGAATAAGAGTGGTGAAAGGATACACCCTTGTCGAACTCCTCTAAGTATACTTACTTCCTCTGTCAGTTCTCCTTCGACTCTTACTCTTGCTTTCTGGTTTTGATACAGATTCGATATAATTTGTAGATCTCTACTATCAATGTTTTTAGTCTTAAGAATACTTAAAAGCTTCTCATGTTGAACTCTATCAAAAGCTTTCTTGAAATCTATAAAGCAAGCATATATGTCCTGATTCATATCCAGGCATCGTTGTGTCAGAACATGGACTCCAAATAATGCTTCTCTAGTTCCTAGACCCTTTCTGATACCCATATGTGAATCACTTATTTCTTGTTCTAATTTCATGTGGATTCTCTTATGTATGATTTTAAGGAAGGTTTTCAATGTGTGGCTCATTAACGCAATTGTTCGATAGTCATTGCAATCTTTAGCATTTGTAATTTTTGGAATCGTCACAAAAGTTGAGAGAAGCCACTCTTTGGGTATGTGTCCCGTCTTGTATATGGAGTTAAAAAGGTCTACCAAGACATCAATATTATCTTCATTAATTATCTTCAATATTTCAATTGGTATTTCATCGGGTCCTGGAGCTTTTCTGTCTTTTGTGTGTTTTATAGCATACATAACTTCCTCTTTCATTATTTCTGGTCCCGTGGTTTCTCCGTTAACTTCTAATAATTGTTCTACTTTTTGATCATAAAATAGTTGTTCAATGTATTCTTTCGATCTAAGTAGTTTGTCTTGCGTTTCAGTTATAGTGGTACCATCTGCATTTTTTAATATCCCGATTGGTTTGTTACGATTTCCTGAAATCATTTCTTTAACCTTCTTATGGGTGTTGAAAGTGTCATACCTTGCCTCACATTCCTCGATTTCTTGACATTTAATGGACATCCATGTTTCCTTAGCTTGTATTATTTTCTATTTTATTTGTTTATTAATTTCTTGATATTTAATTTTATCTTTGTTTTTATGTGTTCTTCTTTCGTCCATCTTTTCGAGAATTTCTTGTGTCATCCATTCTTGTTTGGCAGCTTTTGTAAATGTTAAAGTTTTCCGTCCCACAGTCTCGATTGCGTTCTTTATATTCTTCCACTTTGTGTCAATATCTGTAGTGTTCTTATTTTGTTGTTTTATTTCTTGGATATTCTGATTTATTTTGTTTTGAGTTTCTTGGTATGTATTTGGTTCTCTTAACTTATCAATGCACATTTGTGGTCTAGATCTTTTCATTAATGGTTTTTTCAATCTTACGTTCATATTTGCTACTACTGGGTTGTGGTCCAAGTTTACATCTGCTCCAGGGTAAGTCTTCACTACTGTAATAGAGTTCTTGTACCTGTTCCTTATCAAGATGCAATCTATCTGATTTCTTATCCAGACTTATATTCTTATATAAATAAAGGATGTTATTGGACATTACCAATGCCGACTCATTGCTATAAAGTCTACTATACGTCACATAGGCAAATTTTGGAAAAGTCACCACTCGTCACGTAAATAAACTATTCAATTTTTTACTATTTGTGACTACTATTTGTGACGTCATCCGGTGCCGCTAGTTTTGTGACGCTCACCTCAGTATTTCACTATAGAGAAAAAAGTAAAATACGACGCCAATATGCGACAACTGGAAGAAATGTAGAGAACCTCTTGAAGAAATTTTCATAAGAATTGTAAAATCTGGCAAAAATTGCGTCAGGTTTATTTATTTAACAGTTTTATACACACGTAGCGAAAGTATACACGTTAGCTAGTAGTACTATAATATATTAGAGCCTATGGAATATTGCTGAATGTAACCTTAGATAAGTTTTTTGTAATATTTTGTATATAGAATTAACTTCTTTATTGATCATAGTGAATGATCAGATTCAGCAATAATCATAAGATAACTGTTGGAGTTTTATTAAATAAAAAAAGCGTTTATTATTTTCTACGGCATAATATGCTAAATCGATGTGTTTCGTTTTTCACCCAAAAAAATTGTTCAAAATTGACATTGTCGCCAAAATTCAGCTTTTTCGTATGGTTTTTGGTGGTTTGTAAGATATCAAAAAAAAAACAAATTATTATAAAAAGATTGATTTGTTAACAAACAATTTTATATAATTATTGATTTATCTTTGGAGTTCGCAACACTGATAACATATTGTTTCATTAAATTTTTACGTAGATTATTTAATTTCAACGGCACTAAATATTCGTTTCTACATAAAAATACAAAAGTTGTCAATTACTATTTTAATTTTTTAATCACAAACAATTTCTGAGCAATATTGAAATTTTTAATAACTATTATCTCATATAAATCAAGTTTTAATTGGATTTTGTACATAAAAACCGGTCTATGCAGTTATTTTTATTTTTAAATACAATTGAGCATAAATTTTCTCGCTTTTATCTTTTTAATTAAAAATAAAAAACAAAAAGGCTGTGAATTAATACAGGATCAGTTGTGACGCCAAGATTTAGCCGAGAGCGGATGAATAGCGACGAAGCTTATAAACCGTCGACACTGTTTTCAATAAGTTTGATACATATACGAGCCGTCCAGGACCGGCTTTCGGAGGTGCGTGTCAGTGATGGCACAGCTGAACATCGATCGTTTGGTATTGCCAAGCTGATCTGTTCAGTCCAGTGCAGTCACAAAGGTCGATTCAGTCACCAATGGACCTGCCGTTGCCTTCGTCGCACGGTAGACATCCAATGGTTACTTGAACGTCCGCAATTTTCCAAATTTGGGGTTAACGGATGGGTCGTTTAAAATTTATAACACCTCCATAATAGGCACTGCAGAATGGCAGTCTGCCATTTTTTGATTTTTTTAAATAAAATTAATTTTTTTACTTTATTTAAATATATTATTAAGTACAAAAAAATCATTTACTTAATTGAAAAACAACAAAATTAGACTATAAATTTAATGGTGGTCATTATGTAGTTTTTAAATGGATTTACCTTTTAGATGTAAATATTTAAATGATTTTATTTAATTTGCAGGTGGAGCAAATAAACGCCGAGTTTAAAGTACGAGCTCTACAATATCACCCTGATAAAAATGCCGGAAATAAAGAAGCCGAACAAAAGTTTCAATTATTAAATGTAAGTCCTAATTTATAGATGGTGGATGGATTATTTTATTTATTGTGGGGAATAAGCTTTTCAAAAGTTTTTTTTGTACGCCAGTCTCTTTTTTATATATTTAATATCAATTGCTCTTCTTTTGTTTTGTTAATAATACATTGTTTTTTTATTATGAGCGCATAAGAACACATTTTATCAATCAACAATAATTGGTAACATGGTAACTAAAATAGTATCCATCAATTGGAAGTCCGTATATCTATAGTACAGGAGGTACATACGTGTTTTATCAATTTTGAAAAAGCGTTTGACAGAGTACGCCATGATAAACTTAGAGAGATTCTTGAAAGGAAGGACATAGATAATAAAGATCTGCGAATAATTCTCAATCTATATTGGAATCAGAAAGCTAACATCAAAATAGAAACTGAAACATCACAAGCAATAGAAATACGTAGAGGAGTACGACAGGGTTGCATTTTGTCACCTCTGTTATTTAATGTATATAGTGAAAGCATCTGTCAGGAAGCCTTTTACAAGCAAACGGAGGAATCGTAATTAATGGAGAGATTGTAAATAATATTCGATAGGCGGACGACACTGTACTAGTTGCAAGAACAGTAGAAGAATTACAAAGATTACTTGCAGACATAAATATTGCTTGCAACAATTATGGTATAAATATCAATATTAAAAAAACCAAGTATATGGTCTTCAGTAAAAACATGACACAACCAGCGTATATTAGTATAAACGGCACTCAAGTTGAAAAGGTATCAAGTTACAAATACTTGGGAACTTTAATAAACGAAACTGGAGACCAAAACAGTGAAATAAAAAGACGTATAGAAATTGCCAGGGCCACCTTCATAAAGATGAGAAAATTCTTCTGCAACAGAAATATAAGCATCCCTCTACGATTAAGAATGCTGAGAGGCTATGTATTTAACACGCTATTATACGGTGTAGAGGCCTGGACTCTCAAACAGAACAACATGAAAAATATTGAAAGTTTCGAGATGTGGTGCTACCGTCGAATGCTGAAGATTAGTTGGGTTGAAAGAATAACAAACTGTGAAGTAATACGAAGAATAGGAAAAGACCCAGAGATTTTGTTAACGCTAAAGCGAAGAAAACTCGAATATTTTGGTCACCTGATGAGAAGACATAAATACGCATTACTTCAAAATATAATGCAGGGAAAAATAGAAGGAAAACGGAATCCAGGCCGTAGAAGAATGTCATGGTTGCGGAATTTGAGAGAGTGGTTTGGCTGCACCACTAATGAACTCTTTAGGTCAGCCGTAAATAAGGTCAGAATAGCCTTGATAATTTCCAATCTCCGATAGGAGGGGCACAAAAAGAAGAAGATATCCATAGTCTATTCTCCCATTTTGTAAAGAGTTCTTTATTGCCCAATGTTCTACCTTATCGAATGCTTTTTCAAAGTCTACAAATGCCATATACATTGGGATTTGATATTTGTTGGCCTTTTCAATTAATATTTTTATCATAAGCAGATGGTCGCTTGTAGTGAATCCTTTTCTAAAACCTAGCTCTCTAACTGGTAATTATCTAGCTTAGTTGTTAATCTGTTTCTTAGTAATTTAGTTAACAATTTGTACATTACATTAAGTAGCGTTATGGGACTAAAGTTTTTCAGATCTTTTCTATCGCCTTTCTTAAATAGTAATAGTGTTATTGCCTCGTTCCATGTGGTATTTGTTTTGTGTTCAATATTTTATTCATTAGTACATAAAGAACTTCCACTGTAGTTCCCCCCCCCCCATTTTTTAGCATTTCCACAATTATTCCATCTTTCCCAGGAGACTTGCTATTCTTTATTTCTTTGAGTGCCTTTTTTATTTCATTATTACTGATTTCTGGTTGTAGGTCAGAGTTAACATTCTTTATTTTCAGTTGGTTTTGGTTTTTATTCTGTTTTATAGAGATTTGTATAATATTAGTGCGTTATTTGTAAAATTTCTTTTATATTATTCTCCACACCATATCTGTTCTTTATGCTATTAATTTGTATGTTTCGCAAGTTCTGCTTTAAGCACTTCATGTTTCTATTTTTTTCAATTGTTTTTTCTATCTTTTCTTCCTGTACTCTCCATTTACACTCCTTGATATTTTTATATCAAGGATATTTATTTTATACATATAATATATATTTTATACATAGCATATTTTACAAATTTGCGACTATTTTGGATCAATCTGTACGTTTGTACCTTGTTTAGGCTATGGTGCCTTTTCAAGGATGAGTTTTTTGTAATGGGAAACGTCAATCAGTGTGTTGCCTCTCTCCTCGGGCTTTTGTAGTGGGTATAAAGCAGTAATTGTCAGAAGGATTTCCTACCTTTTGAAGGCCTGTTGGAAAAAGCCCACTACTAAGTATAAGTATCATTGAATAAAACGATCCTTTTGAGATTATTGGACTTTGGTTTTTTCAGTTTAAGCGCTTGGAGGATAACTATGGCTATGCCCTTACCTAGAATCAGTTATCGTTCTGCAATGAGATTGGGAAACCACAGAAAACCAATCTCCTCTGTCCTTGTGATTTGAATTGCGACTCTTAAGGAGTGTACGAGGTACTCACAGTTTTGTGTTTTTATTTAACTAGTATTGTTGTTGAAAGTAAACTAATTATTTATGAACTTCGTCTGCAGGTGGATAAAACGTGTTTAGAATAGCTTAATTCTTCAATAACCTTCCAATATGTGTGGGTATTTTGTGTGGTTATTAATTGTATGCTATTGCTTTGTTTCTTGTTTTGGCGTTTGTATATTTTTTGGTTTGTGAGCTTGTGTGCAACCAAGGAGCAGAACAAGCAGAACAAGGTCTCGTAGAATATGTCCAAGTAGGAAACAAAATAAAAGCAAGAATACAATCAATCAAATGAGAACGTGGGGTAAATTCACCAGCGACATGGACTACGACCTACATGGTGCAAAAAAAACTACGGTAAATGCTTCGGAACAAGAAGAAACCAATTAACGAGTTCGTGCAGACCAAGGCAGAACCTATAGAGATATGGCAACAGCATTTTAAAGAGCTATATGATGCTGAATAAACGCTGAATATAAACGAATACGAATCAGATATAAGTGCTACAATCAATGATGAAGAGGTAGAAGCAAAGATCAAGAAGCTAAAAAACAAAAAATCACCTGGAACAGATGGTATACTCAATAAACTCTTAAAATATGACGAATGGATGAGAAAAGACTCCCAAAAATTGCCATATAAAACAACCTGCCTAGTTCAAGACCTCCCGGAAGACCACCTAATTGATGGAGGGATAGTTTTCAATATACCTCCCAGGAAATTAACCAGATTCAGCTTCAGAATTAAACAAATGGAAAGATCTCCAAGAAGTAGAAGAAGAAGTGTAGTTAGTAAAGTATATGTGTAGGTAAATAATAAGTGTATGCATGAATAAATTAGTGTAGTGTGTTTGTGTGTTTATGTGCAGAATTGAGGTTTAGTTTACGGAATTGTTATAACAGGAAGAGGATATGGCATACCCATTCAATGAATTGGACACTTGGTTTAAATAACAGATTGTGTCACCCATCTTTTCACGAAAGACATTAAATAAGATCATGATGTGAGATAAATTAAGGATTTTTTGTCAGAGGATAGGTCGTATGAGGGAATTTGCTTGGGAGTCTGTATGGGTTATGTTTGTTTTGTGTTTGTTGGTTGGATTTTTCTGTGTGGACATTTTTGTAAAATGTCGGATGGTGTCCATTACAGCTTGAACATTTGGAAACACCTAACGTGGGGCATGCAGTAGAAATGTATATTGTTGTCCCCAATATGGAGAGATAATAGATTTTTCGGGCCATTCGTTGCTGAGCTGTCTGTTTTTGCAAAATCTCGAGCAGTATTTTAGCTGAACCGGAACGGAATTGTTTAATCTTGGAATCTCACAATTCAGTCCTCCTCCTTCGATTTTAATACCATTCATGAGTACATTAGCGAATTTCAGAGTTTGCAAATACTCTAACGAAAGAGGTGGGTTCATTGGTAGAGCGGCAATTAGATTAGTTGGACCTACTTATGCATCTAATTTATGCCGAGAGTCCAAAATAAGAATTATACAGCTTATCCAATTAGTTTTATTAAAATGTTTCAGTATTTTATCTCTCGCAGTTTGAATGCAGTAAATTAATAATTGCTGATCTGTACCGTCTCTATTAATTTTATTACTAAGTTCATGAGCGCATATTTACAGTTTGTCTAAAAGTAAGTTTATTCCAATTACTATCAATCGAAGTGTGCAATATTCTTCGTTTTGCTACAAACATTTTCCGTTTTCTTTAATAAAAAGTTGAATGGTTAATTCCAACATAACGTTTTAGTGAATGAAACTATTAGTTGACCTGTAAACGTCTTCTATCCAGATGTTGCGAGGTCTCAAAATTGTCGTCTTGTAAATCAGAAATAGGTGGTAGCAACGACCACATGGCAAATCGCACAACATAAATACCTACATTTCAAAATTCATTGCCAGCCATAGGCGCAACAAAATACATACAAAAGAGGACGCGCAATAATTTTTGCTTTTAATCTAATTATGTAAAAAAAAACCCTTTCTACAAAAATAAAGATTTTTATTTACTATAATTTATACACTAGATTTAATACTAGACAATTCGTACTATATAAACAATTCGATAAGTCCTCAAACGTGTTCATATTTGAAGCGTATAAATGCAAAACCAGACATTTGACCTACAAGTTGTTTTGAGTAAATCGCAAAAAACCTACCAAAATCGTAATTTGACACCAATGAACATTGCGTTTTAATCAAAATTATCTATCTTTGATAAATATAGTTACTAGTAATCAAAACAAATTAGACTTGTTAGTAAAAAGATATTTTGGTTTAAAAATTAGACATGTCTTGTTTTGCACGTGAGAGTTGTACATGTCTGCTTATGTATCTAAATGAACCTCAACTGCCTTTGTATTTTTTATATCATTGATAGCCTCGTGTGTGATAT